TCTTCTTCTTCTTCTTCTTCTTCTTCTTCTTCTTCTTCTTCTTCTTCAGGCAATTGGGGTTAAGTGACTTGCCAAGGGTCATCTTTTCTTCTCTTTGAACTCTTTCAGGGTCTCCCTCAGCCTTTGCTCTGACACTCTGCTGAAGCAGACCATTTTCTTTCAAACCGAATAGTAGTTACTAGGGGTGAAGGAAACCTGGATTTTGGGAGGAGAAAAGAAGTATGGTCTGGGTTGACCTAGAACCTAGTTCTGCCCTCTTATGGGGGCAAGGTCAGGTTTCAAAGTTCCCCAAAGCATTTTGGGACATCACACTTAAGAGTTCTATTGGAAATTTTTATCTCTGGCCACACAGGCATGTGGACGGTGCCAAAGGCAGATGAGTGTAATGCAGTGAGTGTTGATCTTGGAGCCAGAGAATGAGTTGACATCTTGGCTCTGGAATTTACTGGGTGTTTGACTTTGGACAAGTCCCTTGCTGATTCTGAGTCTCGCATGCCTCATGTGAATGTGCTATCTACCTTCCAGGGTTGTTGTGAAGACCAAATGAGATAATGCATGCAAGGAGATTAGTAAACTTGAAAATGCTACAAAAAGCCATTATTACTGAATATAAAGACAAGTAGGTCAATGGGTGGTCAGGAAGAAGGTGAGAACAGCGTAGGTTACAATGGCCCAGGAAGGCGGCCAGTGAACTAGAGGGCAAGATGATTTATAGAATGTCAGAACTAGTCGGGATTTTAGAGGCCATATAGTTCAATCTTGCATTTAATTCAGGGTCATCCCCCATAATATATCTGACAAGTAGTTCTTGAATTCAACAAATATTTATTAAGCATCTCTAATATGCAAAGTACTGCTCTAGGTGCTGGAAAAGACAAAATCAAAGAATCTGAAGCAGGAATAAGAGAAGGACACAGATGTTTCTACTACCTTATTTATTTATTTATTTTTGCAAAGCAATCAGGGTTAAGTGACTTGCCCAAGGGTCACACAGGTAGTGTCAAGTGTCTGAATCTGGATTTGAACTCAGGTCCTCTGACTCCAGGGCTAGTGTTCTATCCACCTCGACATATAGCTGCCCCATAACTAACTTACGATATGATAATCACACAGGTTAAGTCACTGTTTGAGAAATTCCAGAAAGAAGGAATATCTTCCAGTCATTTTGAATGTGTGTGATAGAATCTGGGGACTGCCTAGTTGAAAGACAAAATCACTATGTCTGAGAGACTGTGACAGGATTTAAATCAAAAGTAGGAATCTTAAACCCAAGGCAAATTCAATTAGGGGTGGGTAGAAGTGAGATTAAAAGATAGCCTATCAGGGCAGCTAGGTGGCACAGTGGGGATAGAACACCAGCCCTGGAGTCAGGAAGTCCTGAGTTCAAATCCAGCCTTAAACACATAATACTTACTAGCTGTGTGACTTTGGGCAAGTCACTTAACTCCAATTGCCTCACCAAAGAAAGAAAGAAAGAAAGAAAGTCTATCCCTGTAGCTGTTGTGCCCCATGCTATCAAAGAATAGATGATGGTACCCAGACCACCAGGGAAAGACCATCCAGGAGGATGTAGCAATGGGGTGGGGGTGGGGATAGCTTGTAGACAGGGGTGCCCGGGGAGTATAAGCCCAGGGAGAAGGGTCCTAAAACAAGGGAACCTTGGGAGGGTTAGAGACGGCCTGGGTCAACATGAGGGAAGGGGGACAAGCTGGAGGACTGCCACAGAGATTAATCATGCCTCTAGAAGTCCATTCTCTAGACAAAAACCCCCCACCACTCTATCCTAGTTACAGCTCTGTCTGGGCTCTTTTGCCAGGCTACAACTGGCCATACATTCACAGGCTTTCATTGCCTTGATGCTGCTGTAGATAAGGCAGTAGATGTTGAGACTCCTTGGCATTTGAGTTGACTCTCTATAGAGGTGAGAGTGAGGAGGTGTGTGAAAATTTGGGAGTTCTGTTGACTGTGTGCCTATTTTTAAGTCTAGAGTAGGGAGAGGGAGTCTCTAAGTCAGAGCATTGGCAATGAATAAATTCTAGGGAAAGTGAGGGGTTTACCACCTTAGCCTGTGTGTGGATCCCTGACTGTCTGAGAGGCTCTGAGTCCTAGTGTGCTATTCCTTTGGGGGAATTGGGATGAAAGATGTGGGTCTGATTTCACTTCTTGCTAGTAAAATTCTGTATTATTCAAAGGGACAAGTCTTCCTTTCCCCTCTCTCCATATGCAATACTGATGGCTTCCTCACAAGAATCACTGGACTGGGTTCTCTAAAGTGAACTCGGTCTAAGTAGGGAGCTCATTCCCAGGATGATGGAGTCAGCTTTCACTCTGCCTTCTCCACCATGAGCACATCCAGTCAGTTGCCAGATCTGATCAATTCTACACCCTAGCCTGTCCACTTCACCTTTCCCATTCAAACCCTCTTTTCCTTTCCTGTAACCACCAGCATAGAGCTAGCCCTCATCACCTTTCACCTATTGCCATAGCCTCCTGACTGCTCCCCCTGTGTCTCATCCCTCCCTTCTCCACTCCATCCTAGACACAGCTTCCTAATGAAATTATCTTCCTAATGAAAAGATATGACCTTGTCACTCCCCTGCCTTCAGGGACACCCTACTGTCTATAGTATAAATTACAAACTCCTCGGGAAGGCCTGATATTTAAGACCCTGTTGGCTCCTTCCTACTTACACCACCTTACAAACTACACCCCTTAATGTTCTAAATATGTTGCTGGCGGACTAGATTTCTAGCTGTTCCATAGCCTTCTCTTGACCTACCCAAAGAGAGTTCCCTGTGCCTGGAATGTACCCCTTCTCCTGTCTGCCTGCTGAAAGCCTTCTCTTCCTCCAAGGCCCAGCTCAGACACCACTTCTTCCAGGAAGCCTTCACAGGTCTATTGCCCCCCCATAGGCCTAACCAGAAAGTGATCATTCTCTCTCTGTTTTCCTAGACCACTTTGTCTAGATGTATCCTGCTTCCGACACAACAGCCTTATGGTACATTGTGTGCTTACATGTCAGCTCCCTCTCCTACCCCTCCTAGATTATAAACTCCTTAAGGGGGGAATCTGTGGGTGGTTTTGGGGTTTTTTTTTCATCTTTTTATGTGCAATCTAAGAGTACATGATAAGTATTTAAATGTTCAGCCAGAAATGAGCTGAATGGAGGAAGTCTGTGAAAACACAGAGGCAGAGAGAGTAAAACTGGAGTTAATTAATCTGAGGAGATCAAGACAGAGTGCAGGGCCTTAAACAGAAACTGAGGCTCAGTCCCACATCGGAGTATCACCTCTTATGGGAGAAAATTGTCAATTGCTTTCTGAATTGTGGTAATAATTCTGTTCTTAACTTTTTCACCCACTCTCCTCAATAGGCCCCGAAAGAGTCTGAAAAGTCCAATTCTCTTGTTCTTTTCAGGCTGCAGAGGGAAGAGGAACAGAGCTCCTTAGTATAGGGCCTCTGGGGGTCAGTCTGAGCAGGGAAGAAAAAGTCCACCAGGGAAAGGAGTAACTTAGAGCTTCGTGAGACTCAGAACTCAGTGTCTGGTACAACCTCCCCATTTCAAAGGAGGAAACTTAAGACAGATGGTGGTGCAGCTGGCAGAGCCAGGACTCAAGTCCAAATCTTCAGCCTTGCACCTCTAAACCCAGTGCTCCAACCAGCACAGAAAGCTAATGAAATACCTAACCTATTTCACTGATCCACCATTCTTTTTCTTAGCCAGTACCAAGTAGTTTTGATGATTGCTGCTTTATTTAAGATCTGGTACAGCTAGGCCACCTTCCCTTGCATTTCTTTTCATTAATTCCCTTGATATTCTGGACCTTTTGTTCTTCCAGATGAATTTTGTTATTGTTTTTTCTAGCTCTATAAAATAATTTTTGGTAGTTTGGTTGGTAAGGCATTGAATAAGTAATTTAATTTAGGTAAATTGTCAAGAAGGGGCTTCTTCATGTTCATTTGGAAAAGGATAAAAAGTTGTCTCAGGACACCCTCTTCCTGCTTCTGTGCCCAGGAGATAAAGAGGACAAGAAATCCTTACCCCACTCCTTAAAACCTTTTACCTTCCAGGAACACCCTGGGACCAGGTCACATTGACTATGCCCCTGGTATGACCACACCTGAACTCACAGCCCCCTTTTCAAAATGGCAGGCAGGAATACTGGCTGTGCCCCTAGCCCAGCCCACCCCAGTTCCCCTCCCCCATCTCATCAGGATAGTTGGACTGAGTCAGAAGACCTGTTTCAGCTCAGATATTAGTTAGCTCTATGAGTTTGGATAAGAACACTTCACGTGTCTGAGCCACAGTTTACTTCTCTGTAAATTGGGGGAAGGAAAGTTAGACTAGATAATCTCTAGGGTTCTCTCCAGTTCAAAATCCTTGGATTGATCCTTTGGAAACACAGGTCTCGGCCCTTCCTCTCCCATTAGCCTTCTCTAATTCCTTCTTGCCCTAGGACTCTGAGGCCAGAGACTTCTCTAGCTTCAGAGCTGGGGTTGGGTGAGGTGTATGGGGGACAGTAATGCTCCCACCTCCGTACGCACAGCCCCTCCTGGAACCTGGAAGAAGAAAAGGGAGACTGGGCTGAGGCTAAGGTTGGAGGGGGCAGCATGGTCAAAGTTAGTCCCAAGCCCCTCCAGCTGCACATCAATCCCAGCAGCCCCCAAGACAGAAGGCACCATAGACCCCTAGTGGAGTCTGCAGGTTTGGGCTCTTCTCCCAGCCCCCTCTGAGGATTCAGCACTTACCCCATCACAGGAAATATCAGCAGAGGGCTTAGGAGAATCCAAAGCAATGGCTCCAATGCATTCTTTCACCAACTGTGAAGGGTTGCAGAGAGAGTTCAGGACTGCCAGTCTGCAACCTCTGCCCCTGACATGCCAGGACTGACAGCAAGCTCAAGCTTTGCCCCAAGCCAGCCCACTGGGAGGGTTTTCTGCTGCTCATCTTGGGTGAATCACTTTGCTCAGGGCAGCAGGAAGCAGAGCTCAGCACCCTCCCTGCTCCAAGGTGGCAATGCCCCCAGAAAGAGACCCATTCAGTCAGTCTCCCTCCCCAGCCCACGACACTCTCACCCCGTTTTCCTTGAAGTCACATTCATCTGGATTGGGATTTTCAGTATTGGGGCACACAGTCTCTCTCATGGTGAAGTTCAGAAGTCGAGAAGCAGCAGGATCCTTGTTCTGGGGAGGAACGCAGGACAGCCTTTTAGACCTAGGCCTCACCTGAAGGCCTATGGAGTCAGGAGCAAGCTATTTAGTGCTGGAAGGGACCTTAGGGACCATGTTGTCTGACCCCATCAATTTCTAGAAGAGGAAACTTAGAGCTAGGAAAGTTAGGTGACTTGCCCAAGGTCACACTGGCTGCAGTATCAGAACTGGGGGTCTATGGAACAGTCATTCATCCAACCAGTGTCTACTGAATGACTTCTGGGGTCTTCCTATGTTCAGCTTCCACATTCCCTGTCCTTAGGGGATACCTCAGGCTGGTTGGGAGACAAAAACTCTCAAAATGGAAAAAAACAATTCAAGTTTAAACCTGTTCAGAGCCACATAAGAGTTTCTGTAGTGAAAAGAATCCTGGATTTGGAGTCTGAAGACCTGGATTTTATTTGTATTCTGAGTGCTTAGGATTGTTCCTGGGACATGGCAAGAGATTCAATCAATCAATAAAGATTTATTAAGCACCTACTATGTGCCAGGCACTGTGCCAAACACTGTGGAGCCAAAAGAGGAACAAGACAGCCCCTGCCCTCAAGGAGCTTACAATCTGATGGGAGGGAGTCATCATGCAAACAAACATATACAAAGCAAGCTATGTACAGGATAAATAGGAAATCATTAAAAGAAGGAAAGCCCTGGATTCAGAAATGCCTTTTCATTTATTCACTCTTTCATTTGTTCATTCCCTCATTCCCAGTTGTTACTGCTATTTACCCTTCTTTTCTCTGGACCATGTTTTTCTACTTTGTAAACTGAGGAGGTTAAACTCAGACGTCTGAGGTCCCTTCCAGCTTGACAGTCTATGATGCTGTGCAGGGCTGTAGGGGACATGGAGAGAGAAAGAGAAAGTCATCTGGCCGGGGGTCACTGATGGGAGCTTGAGCTCTCCTCTGAGGTGGGAGCAGGATTGGAAAGTGAGGGGGAAGGGGAAGGGAATTCAAGGCAGGGGAGTCCTCACAAGAACACTGTGAGACAGGCCAGGCATGGATTATCATCCCCATTTCACAGATGAGAACTGAAACTCAGAGAGGAAAGATGCCTTGCTCAGAGTCAGAAAAATATGTCAGAACTGGAATGAGAACTCAGGTCTTCTGACTATAATGATAATAATAACACAACAATAATAATAATGAACATTCATATGGTTCTACTATTTGCCAGGCAATGAACTGAGTGCTTTACAATTACTATCTCATTTGATCCTCGTAACAACTCTAGGAGGTAGGTGATATTATTATTCCCACTTTACAGTTGAAGAAACTGAGGCAAACAGAGGTTGAATGACTTGCCAGTCACACAGGTAGTAAGTGCCTGAGAGTACATTTGAACTCAGGTCTCTCTGACTTTCAGGGCCAGTGCTCTGTCTACTTTGCCACCTAGCTGCCCCTCTCTTTCCACTACATCACAATGTCTCCCAGTAAGGAGATCAAGATTTTCTGGAGTGAAAGGTTCATATTAGGAAGTCTTGGCAGGTGGAGCCCTCCCCTGCCATCCCAATGCTACTCACTTCCCCAGACTGCAGATTCAGGATTGAGGAACGAAACAGGTTTTCTTTTCTTTTTTTTTTTTTTAGGCAATTGGGGTTAAGTGACTTGCCCAGGGTCTCACAGCTAGTAAGTTAAGTGTCAAGTGTTTGGTTTGAGGCCAGATTTGAACTCAGGTCCTCCTGACTTCAGGGCCGGTGCTCTATCCACTGTGCCATCTAGCTGCCCCGAAACAGGTTTTCTGATCCTGATTTCATGTTGTATTCCTGAATGAATTCATTCACCAAATCCTGGTACCTCTGGTCCTGGGCATAGACAAGTGGATTCTTCAGGCTGAGCAGCCCCAGCAGCAACAGGGGTATCTGCATGGTCCAGCCCCTCTGCAGCCTCATCCTCTTGGACCTCAATGCTGTGGGCCCGGGAAGGAGCTATCCTTTATTCACTGGCTTCTCCCCAGCCTTACACAAGGGCAAGGGATCCCTCCAGCCATTGGGTTCCAACAGTTTCCTGAGGTCTGTGGTTTCCCCTATTCTTTTGTCATTCCTCACCTCTTGTCCCCAGGACTGGGAGTCCTCTCCTTCAGTTTCCTCATGAAGCTCTGGAGTTGACAAACAGGAAGTATTGGAGAAAGAGTGGAAGTATGAGGAAAAGATGGAGGAGGAGGGCAGGAAGATTAGGCAGGATGAGGGATATGAAGAAATAAATATTTTCCCTATCTCTCTCTGTCTTACAAAGTCCTGGAGGGCCTGCCGTTAAGTGGATGGTCCAGTGAGCTGGCACATTGGGTTGCCTTTCCAATTACTCAAAGAATTTTGCAATAGAGTTAGGGTTGCTTAAACTGACCTCTCTATTCTCCTCTGATCCTTCCTAAAATGCTCAGTCCTCAATTCTCCAAAAGCAGAGGGTCCCAGGGTCAACCAGAGATTTCAAATTTCCTCTATGATTCCTAATTTCCCCTAGTAAAGTCTTCCCAGCTAGGCCCCTGCCTTCATCCCATTCAAATCTACAAATCTACATGCCAACAGACTAGCCCTATAGATTGCCTATATATAGCCCTATAGTCCATGTAACAGAATATCACAGGCCAGACAATAGGCTTTCTTCAGCCAGAAGAAGAGAACTCTAAGCAGAGTACTGAAAGAGAATAAGGATTCTGAGAGATTGCATTAGAGAGATAGAATATTGGTGGCATGGAGGATTCCTGGCCTATGCAGATCCAAGGAGGTAGAAGATGGATTTCAGGCTGAAGAACAGTCCAGGATTGACATAGCTGGAGATAGACAGATAGTCAGTAAGTGAGTGGGTAGGAAAGGCAGAAGTGGGGATGAATCAGCAAAGGTCTGATGTAAGAGGTGGTTCTCTTACAGGGAACAAGGTAGGGATTCTAAAAGGTGGATATGAGAAGAGAGAACATTCCAAATACGGTGGACCACCTCTGCAAAGGCACAGTGATGGGAGATTATTGGTCAGATACAGAGAACAGCAAGTAATCCAGTTTAGCAGAAATGTAGACTATATGGAGGGCATTTAAATGAAATCAGTGCAGAAAGAAGGTGGGAGCCAGACTGTGAAAGGCTTTAAATGTCCAACAGAAGTGTTTGGATTTCATCCTAAAGGCAACAGGAAGACAGGGCAGTGACAGGGTCAGCCTTATGCTTTAGGAGACACTAAAGAGAGGAATCCCAATTAGGAGGCTGATGTTAATAATCCAGTTGAAGACAGGCAAAGATGTCAAAAGGTAGAGATGGGGGGCAGCTAGGTAGTGCTGTGGATAGAGCACTGGCCCTGGAGTCAGGAGGACCTGAGTTCAAATCTGGCCTCAGACCAAACATTTGACACTTACTAGCTGTGTGAAACTGGGCAAGTCACTTAACCCCAGTTGCCTAAAAACAAAAACAAAAAACGATATTGCTGTTACTGTATTCAATGTTCTCTTGGTTCTGCTCACTTCGCCCTTCATCATTTCATTTAAAGCTTTTCATGCCTTTCTAAGATCAATGAGTTCATCATTTCTTATAGCACAGTAATATTCCATCACAAGCATACACCACAACCAGTTCAGCCATTCCCCAATTGATGGGGATCCCTGTAATTTACAGTTCTTTACCACCTCAAAGACAACCGCTATAAACATCCCATTCACATTCAAAGTTATAACCACTATTTGTGAATTTCTCTCCATCTTATTTTTATTCACTATTTTCTTTCTCAGCTTCTCTTTTTACGCTGTCCCTTTCACCTTATCTTCTCCCCCTATCTTACCAATCCCCACTTCACCTGCCCCTTCAAGAGTCCCCCCTAAACCCTTACCCTCAATCACAATCTATACACACCTTCAAAAGTCCCCATTTCCTTTCCCCCCACCCTCCCAGATCCCAATCCATACATCTCTCTAAAAGTCCATCTGCCACCCTGTCCCCTTGTTTTCTCACCTCTCTACATGTTCAGAACACTTCTACATTCTTCCAGATGTACATATCATTTTCTCTTCAACCCAGATGAGAGTAAGGTTTCAATTTTGCTAATCCTCCACCCTCACTTGCTTCTTCTATATTAGTTCTTCCTCTCCTACTCCATTTTATAATTGCTCCATTTTTATTTTTTAGGATCACCCCATTATACACAACTCAAGCACCAACCTTTCTTTAAAACTACCATACAATCGATGACAGTTTTAAGAATACTGTTAACATTTTCCTATATATTATCAGCAAACAGTTTAACCTTAAGGAGTGACTTATAATTATCCTTTAATGTTTTCTTATATTTCTTCTGGATCTTTTACCTAAAATATGCCAATGAATTCTGGTCTTTTGTTACAAATACTTGAAAGTCTTTCAGTTTGTCAAATGCTCTTTTTTTTCCAGTTACGATTATACTCTAGTTTGCTTGGTAAGTTATTCTTGGAGAATAATAATACCTCAGCTCTTTTGCACTTTGAAATATCATGTTCCAAGACCTACAGGTTTTTAGAGTGGAAGCTTGCTAGGTCTTGTGAAATCTTGATTGTATTTCTGCAGTATTTCAATTGTTCTTTTTTTTTTCCTTGTTGCTTGCAATATTTTCTCCTTAACCTGGGAGTTTTGAAATCTGATTAGGACATTCCAGCAAGTTTTCCTCTTGGGATCTCCTTCAGGTGGTGAATAGTAGATTTTTTCCTATTTGTACTTTACTTTCTTATTCTGGAACTTCAGGGCAATTTTCCTTAATAATTTATTGCAATATTGTATCCGGATTCTTTTCTTGATCATAACTTTCTGGTAGTCTTTTAATTCTCATATTATCTCTCATCCATCTGTTCTCCAGATAAGTCATTTTTCTAATGAGATATTTCAGATTCTCTTCTATTTTTCTAGTTTTATTATTTCTTGATGTCTTACAACAACATTCAATTACTCTTGCCCAATTTATTTTCTTTTTAAAAAAATTTTTATTAATTTATTTTGATTTATCAACAATCACTTTCATATGCTTTTGAGTTTACAAGTTTTCTCCCCCTTCCTCCCCACCCCCCCCAAGATGGCACACAATCTGATATAGGCTATACATATGCATCCCCATTAAACATATTTTCACATTAGTGATGTTGTAAGTAAAAATTAGAACCAATAGGAGGAACCACCAGAAAGAGGAAACAAAATTCAACAGAAGAGCAAAAAAATAGCAATTCAAACTCCATAGTTCTTTCTTTGGATGTGGATAGCATTTTCCATCATGAGGCCTTTGGAGATATCTTAGATGCTTGTATTGCCAGGAAGGGTTAAGTTTATCAATATTAGTCATCACACAACATGGCTGTTATTGTGTACAACATTCTCTTGGGTCTGCTCACTTCACTCAGCATCAGACCATACAAGTCTTTCCAGGTTTGTCTGAAGTCAGCCTGTTCATCATTTCTTATATCACGATAGTATTCCATCACATTCATATACCACAACTTGCTCAGCCATTCCCCAATTGATGGGCATCCTCTCAATTTCCAATTCTTTGCCACCAAAAAAAGAGCTGTTATGAATATTTTTGTACATGTGGGTCCTTTTCCCGTTTGAATGATCTCTTTGGGATATAGCCCTAGAAGTGTTATTGCTCCATCAAAGGTTGCCCAATTTATTTTCAAGGAATTATTTTCTTCCTTAAGATTTTAGACCACTTTTTCCAATTGGTTAACTTTCTTTTCTTAATTGTTGTAGATTGCTTTTATTTTTTCCCTAATTTTTTCTTAATCTCTCTTATTTGATTTTTAAATTCTTTTTTAAGCTCTTCCAAGAACTCTCTTTGGGTTTATGACTATTTTCTATTAATCTTTGGGGTAGGAGTGGCTTTTGACTTACCTCATTATCTTCCTGAATATGAACCCAGATCTTCTTTTCACCAAATACCTATCTGTGGCTGGGTTATTTTTCCTTTGCTTACTTATTTTTATTTGTTTTATTTTATTTTAGCAGATTATTATTATTAACACTGTTATTAATCCAGAGGGAATTCAGTGAAGATGGTGGAGTAGGTAAGAAATTTCCAAGCATTCCTCATTTCCTACAGTACCAGACAGAAAATCACCACGAAATAAATATAGAGCAGCAAAAATAAAGGGGTAAAGCAATTGTCTTTCTAAGACAACTTGGGAGGACCTCAGGAAGGACAGGACCTCCAGGGGCTGAGGTTTGGCCTGAGGGAAATGTAGACACTTTCAGGCCTACTACACTGAATGGACAAACAGGCCCTGAAACAGCTCTATGGGGAAGCAGACTCAGTCTCAGGAAATTTCACCTCAACTTTTACCCCACAGCCCTAAGAAGTTTGACCCCACGAACTTTGACCTCAGAAACTTTCATCTAAGGACCACTCCTCCCCAAGCTATTTCGAGAAGCTAGGCCTGGTGGTGCTGACCAGAAGTGATCCTGGGCTATACAGCTGGGTGTCATAACTGTGGTTAGGGTAGGAGAGGAGTCCCTGAGGTGGAGCACTGACTGAATTCTGGAAACAACAGCAAGGAGGACCTGCGGCCAAGGCAACATTACCCACAATCTGTAATTAAAGCTTGATTAATAAATGCTACTTAATTATCACTATGACTGGTGGCAAGAGCCCTAGGATTAAGGTCTAGGGTCAAGTCTTGGCTTTGTCTGAGGAGATAAATGAGATAATGTAAGTGTTTATATGTGTGTGTGTGTACGTATATATGTGTTGCACGCATGTATGTGTGTATATATACAAATTATACACATATATACATACACACAGTTATATAGGTATATGTAAGTATGTGTGTGTATGTGTGTGTAAACTTTAGAAGCATACTACATAAATGGGATCTATTATTATTCAGGATGAAATGGTAGAGTTTTGTCAGATTGTTCAGGCTTTAAATGTCAGAATAATAACATCACCTAAT